CATCAGACTTTCAAAAATCGACAGAAAAATATATAATTACGAAATCACACCATAGCTACAAAATTTTCTTTGCTATTCTTAAGAGCTTAAAGTATTTCTCTCCACAGATGAGTCTTTCAATATCGGACTGAAGTTTGAAATTGCGTTTGAAGTCCGTCCCAGAAGCAGCTCGGGAACTCTTGTCCATGGCCACAGTGTCAACGGGGAGTACCTGAACGTTCACGTGAAAAACGGGCAGGTAGTGTCTTAAAAATGTTTAGCAGTCTGTCTCAACTGTCCTTGGGTTCTAGATATGAAGCAAATTTATTTCACAGAATTATTTCATCTATCTTTCCTAATGGGAAAAAAATTGGGAAGCTGTAACCTCAAATTTAAATGTGGGCCATATTTGAATTCAGATTCATATGTTAGAAGTTGATTTTATTAGAACAAAGAATCACGAAAATAAGGCAAAGTTACCAAAAAAGATCATCATTAACAACATACAGAGTTTTAGCAAAAGAATTAGAAGAGAACTTTTTTCACCTAATGGAAGCAACAAACATATTCAATATCTAAATTGAGAAACACTAGAACATCCATCTTTTAAAATTTCTATAATATATGTATATCAGATATAATCTATATAACAGCTATATAATGCATATATACATATACTTGTACATATTATTCTCAATTGTTAGAAATTTTTTTAAAAATTGTTATAGTTGAACACCTAAAATGTTACTAAAGAACATTCATGAAAGTATTCAAATAAATATATAAGGAAAAATCATATTTTTATTGATGCCTCTAGCTTAATATAACTGATTATTTGGGTTCTAATACCTTCTATTAAACCGTATAACTATAAAACTTATTCTTTTACATGATACTTACCATGTGTCAGGTACTATTTTAAATGCTTTATATGGATTAACTCATTTATATTTCTCCCAATATCTCTATGATGTAGTTAATATTATGACCCTTATTTTACAAATGAGAAAACTGAGGCAGAGAGTAAGATAAATGGGAGCCAGGCAATCCGACTTCAAAGTCCATGCTCTTCGCCGGTACTTTAACCTGTTCTATAGAACACACTCCATGTTTGGAAATTAAAGGAACTCATTCTGTTACATTCTTATTGTTCCTCTCTCCGCTTCTCTCCTGTAGTGATTATTTTGTTCTCCCTACCAAAGAGTGACCCCTTGTGTTCAAATTGCAAAGCTATTCATGTTGGATATTTGTTAAAGTATTGCTTCACTGTGGTAAATTATTTAAGAAATTCAGTTTTATCGTGATGACGAGAAATGAAACTGAGTTATATAATGTACTCTGTCTTTTTCAGGTCACAGTGAAAGTCAACAATGGCATCAGAGACTTTTCCACCTCAGTAACACCCAAGCAGAGTCTCTGTGATGGCAGATGGCACAGAATTACAGGTGAGGACAGCTGAGTGTCCTGGGTTTCCTTTACAAAGGTGAGCTGGCACACCCACCTGTGAGATGATGGCCTGGCAGAACCTAGGCTATAACTTACATACATAATAGGTGATGGATGACAGTCTAAAAGTGGCCAAGAAAAGAGAATGAAGTGTTATGACACTAAAATGTGTATGTTGAATCCACATATGATTTGAAAATCTGAATGCTGCCAAAATAGTTTTCATGCATAACTTACAGAGCAAAAAAGTAGCATATGAGTATCCTAAATATTCTCCTTTTCAAAGGAAAATGTTAGACTGATTACTTGGTTAGACAGTGTTAGACATTATTGATGTTTTCCATCATAGAGAAGAAAGTGTAGGGGGTTATCTGAAATAAATAAAAGCCATTACTGTGATAAATTAGTCCCTTTCATGTGAAAATGTATCACTTCAGTGCCACTTATGACCATACTTTGCCCTGTATTTCAGTTATTAGAGATTCAAATGTGGTTCAGTTGGATGTAGATTCTGAAGTGAACCATGTGGTTGGACCACTGAATCCAAAACCAGTTGATCACAGGGAGCCTGTGTTTGTTGGAGGTGTTCCAGGTAAGTATTGCTTTAAAAGGACAAGTTTCCAAATCCAAAAAGTACTAAGTTCTCAAAATTGTTATATAGCATTAGACTCAAACCATGCGGTTTTATAATTCAGCTAATAACTCAAAGGATTTTATATGCGACGTCCTTTAACAGGAAAAAGCATACTGAAAATTGTGACTCCTTATCCAAGAATCACAGTAAAGTAACACTTAAGAACTAGGCCCCTGCATTCTAACCTGTAGATATTACTCCCTCCTTACCATATTTGCTTATTTTTTCTGCCTCTCTTCCCTTTAAGTTCCCTCCACACATACACACAGTAAAACACACACTCTAATTATCATTAACACAAAGAAAACTCGTTTACTAATACTGATGTAGGATCTGAGAACCTTGGAGGATTAAAAGTTTGCTGATCATTGCTACTCTTCCTTAGTAGGAAAGAATGCATATAGTTCTCCCTGTCCAGGATTAGTCTGAATTGTGAAAACAGCTGCAGACCATAAGTTTTATTGCTCCCCTGTAGTGACATTCCCTAAGAGAGGTTCCCAGCTGCAGTTCTGTAAACATCATCAGTAACAACGCTGCTGTCGTCTGCCAATAATGGTGTATAATCCAGGATGGTTACAGAAAGACACCTACAGATCTCCCCCCCACCCAATTGTTTTAAACCTCTGAATCAGGAACCATATATCCTTGTGTTGAATGCATTTTTTTGTACATGTCACTAACTTGGAAAAACTGAAAGCTATAGCTGCAGAGAGGGATATAAGAAGGATATATCCAAGCTTTTGTATCTGGAATTTGGTAGGGATTTTAATAATCTCCTAACTAGATTATTTTAGACAGACCCATATAATGGCATATGATACTTTAATTAAGAGTGTAAGAAAGCACGATAAAATAAAGCATCTGACCGTGAGTACTCCCAAACTAAGTGGCAACTAAGCATCCTCACCTTTGTATTGTCGATTTTTTAAATACCAGTATTGACAATGATAATAACTCAGTGCTGAAAGAAATATTTGAGACCCTCTAAAAGCAACCTTTCCTCTCCTTTACTTTCCCCATCCACCCCATCTCCATTCCCCAGACCTCTCCTGCTCCTGGCTTCAGTTCTGAAAGGGATTCTGGCAAAAGCCACCACTGCACTTCATGCAATGCAGTGTGGAAAATGTCTCACTTCAGTTCTTATATTTCTGTTCATTGCTTCCTTCCTAGAAATCGAAACATAGTTTAAAATATCACACATTCCCAAGGGCCTACAGGATCAAATTCAAGCATAGTGTGCAAGGTCCTTGATCATTTGTCCCTTCTTTGCCCCTGCTTCTGGGGTCTCCCCATATCTTCTGGGACTTGTAGTTTCATAAGTGTTCAATGATGCTGTCTCTACTCCAGTCCTGTGCACAAGTGCAGAGGGCCTTGATTTGCAGGAAATGTTGTTCTTCCTTTCCTCCCCTAGTACGTCTTCAGGGAACAACTCCCACTTCTCCCCTAACCTAACTCCTTATTGACCTTTAGGACTGAGCTCAGACTTTTACTTACATTCACATGCCCCTTCTACCTAGGATGTGTGTGCACACCACTGTTGGAGCACTTATTATGGACTGTTGTTAAAGTTAAATAGTTCACTCCTTGCTGGCAGGGAACATGACTTCATTCAACACACAACAGATGTTTATTGAGTGTCTGTTAAGAACTGTGCTAGGCTCCAGGAGATAGATAAATCAAGCATGGCCCTCCCTCAGGGAAGAGATAGTCTTTGTTCTTCCCTTTGCATGCAAAGTGCTTACTACCTCATTCGAATAAATGTTTCTCTTTGATTTTTGTTTGCTTTTATAGTCTGATGCCAGCATCACACACTGCCTTCATCCCTTTCTACAAGTTGCTCAGCTCCACAGACTGGGTGGGCAAGATGTACCTGAAGCCAAATGCAACCCACCAGAGACATATAATGATTAGCAAATTTTAGCTAATGAGCCATCACACAGGAACTAGCAGGCCAGGCGAGGCCTAACCACCAGCCCATTGCACGACTGCAGCTTTTAGTTCCATCTAGGAATCATGCCAGCAAGCCTAGAACAAAAGCAATTATAATTTAAGCTGAATGTAATTAATTATATCATTTTGAGCTATTCAAGATTAATTCCACTAAAATCACATTAAAAACAAGGGCATTGAGGATAACTAAAGAAATTAGTCATACATAAAACCTATATATGCACTGAATTCTCTTGAAATCCCAGCCAGTTCTCTCATATCACTTAGAAATAGCTATCAATAAAAAGCTAATGCATAAAATTCATAGAACTATACACCAAAAATGTCAACTTTACTGTATGATAACTTGAAAATCAAAATTAAGTAAAGAATTTTTTAAGTTAGTGTAGTCCACACACAGATCTAACCTTCATTCCTCTACTGAAAATCCTGCATTATTCTGTGTATAGGCAAGCTTTCAACCTGGGAAGTGTTCTGACTTAAAAACATGCATTGATTTTATTAATCAATTACTTAGGGTCCGGGGGAACTTTTCTGTCACTACCTACAATTAATTGTGTGGTGGTGAATTATGCAGACCACAATCGCTATATGAATTATTACCTCCACATGATTTCCCCATGTTTAGTTCATGGGTGGCAAACTTGGGCAGAATCAAAACCCATGTTCTAGTCTAGCCAAATCTAGCCTCCAATATGAGCAGAAGCATTAGATGTTCCTACGTCTTATAATCGTTTCTATTCACACATTTTTTGTTCTGATGATGAAATACACTGAGTAGGTTTGAAGAATATATACATATAATCATACTAATCTAAAGACAAAGAGAATTTATCTCTCAGGCCCTTTCCAAATGTAAAATTTTATGATTATCATTCTAAATATGAAATGCTGTTTCCATAATTTATTTTCAGTACACAGCTTCTGCATATTCTTATTTTACATTATTTAGAAAACTTATTACAGCTGCCTGATGGTGTTTAATTTGCTGTCCTATTTTATGTTCTTTCCTGAGTTACTGATTTCTAAGTGTTTTCCATCTTTTATCTGCTACTGCTCACATAGTTTTTCATACATAATAATAAGCTTTGACTAAATGGACTTTAATTTCATGATAGTTCTAAGCTCTCTAAATTGCTTTAAATTATATTGCTTCTATCATCCCAACACATTTAATTGTCTGCACAATTAATAAGCATAAGGCTTCTCCCAGATCTCTAATTAAGATAAAGGGAGAAAGTTCCCCTGGCATACCAGAAGGCACCTGTGCCCACAGAAAGACTAGACTAATTATCATTACCCTATTTATAAGTTCTTAAATACTAAGCTCAGAAAAATTAAATTTTAGTTTATTTGAATTCATTATTTTCTCATTATATTTTATGAGTTTGGCATAAATGCGGAGGCTTAGGGGTAAGGAGTAATGAATAAACAGAAACATTAACCAAGTCCAAAAATAGTGTGGAAGCTAAAATTTCTTTCCCCTATCTCAGCAAAGCACACAAAATAAGTGAGGCCCAGGTGAAATTAACCTTGAAAAACATAGATAGACTATGAAAATTCACTGCCGATGCTTTACAGGTAAGTGGTAAATTTCAGCCTTGGAAGACAGCTGCAATACACTGAAATTTGATCACGGAAAATATGACAAAACATTAAAATTACCATATGTTCATATTACTTCAAAAGCAAATAATGTTCTTGAGAAATATATCAATTATAACTATATTCCATTTTTGACACGTAAATCATCTTAATGATGAAAGCAACTACTACATATATTTTTACCAGGAAATAATATTTGGGCTTGAAATGCCTCAATTGCAATATTTGCTTTTATTTCTTTCTCATTTCAGAGTCTCTTCTGACACCACGCTTGGCACCCGGCAAACCCTTTACAGGCTGCATCCGCCACTTTGTGATTGATGGGCGCCCAGTGAGCTTCAGTAAAGCAGCCCTGGTCAGCGGTGCCGTGAGCATCAACTCCTGTCCAGCAGCCTGACACAACACAGCACAGCTGCCCAAGGACAAAGTTCTTCAGAGCACTGAAACAAACACAAAGCCAGCCAGGAGGAATAGCAACTCTTCCTCCTTGTGCAAGCTTTCATTTAGTTGAACAGGACTTAAATGAATCATCAGGGACTGGATGCTTCTTATTTCTCATTTGGATTCTTACCTTGGATCCAAAATGTCTGCAATGGACAACAATCGAAGGAGTGGTAAATGTACTTGTATTGAGAGCAACTTACTTCCCGCTGGTGAAATTACTGTTCCTGTTTCTAATAAAATAGAAGGGATTCTGAATAAACACTGGCACGAATTTTTGAAGTGCGGCTACATTGTCAGATTCATCTTTCTTGGAGGGAAGATAACTTTCAATCTATACAAAAATATCTTTGTCCTAAGCTACCATTATCTTGAAAAGATTTACTAATTTATATATAATCTAAAATTAGACAATAGATTTGCTTTTAGCACTTTGATTTGGTTTATCAGCATAACAAGAATATTTTAAGTTTATAGCAGCAGTTATCACATTTTAGTAAATTTCTAACAAATTATTAGGAAAATGTAGTATAATTTAATTTTTTCTAGATTAAAAAAAGGAATTAAACTACTTTTTTTTCCTTAGCTCCTCAAAAGTAAAATTGTACATGAGGAGTGGCTCCTGTAGGATATTATTATTACTATTATTGTGTGTTCTATAGGTATTATCAAGGACATTACAGCAAAGAGAGTAGGACAAAATTATAAAATTCCATTTAAAAGTAT